AGATTGAAACAGTCATCAAAAAACTCCAAACAAACAAAAGCCCAGGGCCAGACGGCTTCCCGGGGGAATTCTACCAAACATTTAAGGAAGAACTAATTCCTATTCTCCTGAAACTGTTCCAAAAAATAGAAATGGAAGGAAAACTTCCAAACTCATTTTATGAGGCCAGCATCACCTTGATCCCAAAACCAGACAAGGATCCCATCAAAAAAGAGAACTACAGACCAATATCCTTGATGAACACAGATGCAAAAATTCTCACCAAAATACTAGCCAATAGGATTCAACAGTACATGAAAAGGATTATTCACCACGACCAAGTGGGATTTATTCCAGGGCTGCAAGGTTGGTTCAACATCCACAGATCAATCAATGTGATACAACACATTAATAAAAGAAAGAACAAGAACCATATGATACTCTCCATAGATGCTGAAAAAGCATTTGACAAAGTACAGCATCCCTTCCTGATCAAAACTCTTCAAAGTGTAGGGATAGAGGGCACATACCTCAATATTATCAAAGCCATCTATGAAAAACCCATCGCAAATATCATTCTCAATGGAAAAAAACTGAAGTCTTTTCCTCTAAGGTCAGGAACACTGCAGGGATGTCCGTTATCACCACTGCTATTCAACACAGTACTAGAAGTCCTAGCCTCAGCAATCAGACAACAAAAAGAAATTAAAGGCATCCAAATCGGCAAAGAAGAAGACAAACTATCACTCTTTGCAGATGATATGATACTATATGTGGAAAAGCCAAAAGACTGCACTCCAAAACTGCTAGAACTGGTACAGGAATTCAGTAAAGTGTCAGGATATAAAATCAATGCACAGAAATCAGTTGCATTTCTCTACACCAACAACAAGACAGAAGAAAGAGAAATTAAGGAGTCAATCCCATTTACAATTGCACCCAAAACTATAAGATACCTAGGAATAAACCTAACCAAAGAGACTAAGAATCTATATTCAGAAAACTATAAACTACTCATGAAAGAAATTGAGGAAGACACAAAGAAATGGAAAAATGTTCCATGCTCCTGGATTGGAAGAATAAATATTGTGAAAATGTCTATGCTACCTAAAGCAATCTACACATTTAATGCAATTCCTATCAAAGTACCATCCATTTTTTTCAAAGAAATGGAACAAATAATCCTAAAATTTATATGGAACCAGAAAAGACCGCGAATAGCCAAAGGAATATTGAAAAAGAAAGCCAAAGTTGGTGGCATCACAATTCCAGACTTCAAGCTCTACTGCAAAGCTGTCATCATCAAGACAGCATGGTCCTGGCACAAAAACAGACACATGGATCAATGGAACAGAATAGAGAGCCCAGAAATGGACCCTCAACTCTATGGTCAACTAATCTTCGACAAAGCAGGAAAGAATGTCCAATGGAAAAAAGACAGCCTCTTCAATAAATGGTGTTGGGAAAATTGGACAGCCACATGCAGAAAAATGAAATTGGATCATTTCCTTACACCACACACGAAAATAGACTCAAAATGGATGAAGGACCTCAACGTGAGAAAGGAATCCATCAAAATCCTTGAGGAGAACACAGGCAGCAATCTCTTCGACCTCAGCCGCAGCAACATCTTCCTAGGGACATCGCCAAAGGCAAGGGAAGCAAGGGCAAAAATGAACTATTGGGATTTTATCAAGATCAAAAGCTTTTGCACAGCAAAGGAAACAGTGAACAAAACCAAAAGACAACTGACAGAATGGGAGAAGATATTTGCAAACGACATATCAGATAAAGGGCTAGTGTCCAGAATCTATAAAGAACTTAGCAAACTCAACACCCAAAGAACAAATAATCCAATCAAGAAATGGGCGGAAGACATGAACAGACATTTCTGCAAAGAAGACATCCAGATGGCCAACAGACACATGAAAAAGGGCTCCATATCACTCGGCATCAGGGAAATACAAATCAAAACCACAATGAGATACCACCTCACACCAGTCAGAATGGCTAAAATTAACAAGTCCGGAAATGACAGATGCTGGCGAGGATGCGGAGAAAGGGGAACCCTCCTACACTGTTGGTGGGAATGCAAGCTGGTGCAACCACTCTGGAAAACAGCATGGAGTTTCCTCAAAATGTTGAAAATAGAACTACCCTATGACCCAGCAATTGCACTGCGGGGTATTTACCCTAAAGATACAAACGTAGTGATCCGAAGGGGCACATGCATCCGAATGTTTATAGCAGCAATGTCTACAATAGCCAAACTATGGAAAGAACCTAGATGTCCATCCACAGACGAATGGATAAAGAAGATGTGGTATATATACACAATGGAATACTATGCAGCCATCAAAAGAAATGAAATCTTGCCATTTGCGATGACGTGGATGGAACTAGAGGGTATCATGCTTAGCGAAATAAGTCAATCGGAGAAAGACAACTATTATATGATCTCCCTGATATGAGGGAGAGGAGATGCAACATGGGGGTTAAGGGGATAGGAGAAGAGTAAATGAAGCAAGATGGGATTGGGAGGGAGATAAACCATAAGTGACTCTTAATCTCACAAAACAAACTGAGGGTTGCTGGGGGGAGGGGGGTTGGGGGGGTGGGGTTATTATGGACATTGGGTAGGGTATTTGCTATGGTGAGTGCAGTGAAGTGTGTAAACCTGGCGATTCACAGACCTGTACCCCTGGGGGGAAAAAATACATGTTTATAAAAAATAAAATTAAAAAAAAAAATCTGTTGTGTTTCCATTTATGTGCAATGAACAATCCAAAAAATGACGTGAAGAAAGCAATTGCATTTACATAGTGTCCAAAAGAATAAAATACTTAGAAATAAATTTAACCAAGGAAATAAAAGACTAAAAATTACAAAAAATTGGCAAAAGAAAACAAAGACCTAAGTTAATGGAAAGACATCCTTAGTTCATGGGGAGGAAGAGAGTGTCCTCTCCAAACTGAGATTGTTCAGATGTCAGTCTCACCTAAAGCAACCTATAGATTCAACATAATCTTTATTACAAAATGCCAATGGCCTTTTTCTTTTCTTAAGAGATGGAAAAGTCAACCCTCAAATTCATATGGAATTGCAAGAATCCCTGGATATCCAAAATAATCATGAAAAAGAAGAAAAGAATTAGAGGACTGAGATTTCCAGATTTCAAAACTCACAACAAAGCTACAGCAACTAAAACAATGTGGTTCTGACATATCAACAGACATGTAGGCTAATGGAATAGAATTGAGAGTCCACAGAAATAAACCCATATATCTACAGCCAATTGATTTTTGACAAGGATGCCAAATGCAGTCAACTGGGAAAGAACAATCTCTTCATCACATGGTACTTGGACAACTAGGTTTCCATATGTGCAAGAATGAAGTTAGACCTCTACTCACACCATATACAAAAATGAACTAAAACCAATCAACAACTTAAATATAAGAGCTAAAACCATAGAAGGTTTTCACTTCTTAGAAGGAAACAGGGCAAAGGTACATGACCTTGGACTTGTCAACAGATTCCTAGATGTAACACCAAAAGCATAAATAGCAAAAGAAAAATGGTAAAAGATAAATTGGATTTCTTCAAAATTAAAAGCTTTTGTGCATTAAAGACATTATCGAGAAAGTGAAGAGACTGTATGAAAGAGTGGGAGGAAATATTCATAAATCATATATCTTTTCCTGAGAAAGAAAGAGAAAGCGAGCAAGCAAGAACATGAGCAGGGAAGAGGAGCAGAGAGAGAGAGAGAGAAAATCTTAAGTGGGCTCCAGCCCAGCACCGAGCCCGACTCAGGGCTTGATCTCACCACCCTGAGATCATGACCTGAGCTGAAACCAAGAGCTGGATGTTCAACCAACTGAGCCACCCAGATGTCCCTACAAATCTGATAAAGGTTTAATATCCAGAATACACAAAGCACTCATTAACAACAGGACTCAACAACAAAAAGACAAACAACCCAATGAAAAAAAATGGGCAAAGGACTTGCATAGATATCTCTCCAAAGAAGACAAGAAATGGCCAATAAGCACATGAAGATACTTAACATCATTCATAATTAGGGAAATGTAAATTAAACCACACTTTGCTACTACTAAGATGTCTGTCATCAATGTTGGTGAGGATGTGCGGAAATTAGAACCCTTACACACTGCTGGTAGGGTGTAAAATGGGGGTAGCCTCTGTGGCAAGTGGTTTGGCACTTCTTGGAAGAGCTAAACACAGAATTACATAACTCGCCAATTCAACTCCTAGGAATATACTGAAAACAATTGAAAACAGCAGCTCAGACAAATATTTGTATACCCGTGTTCACTGCAACATTATTCACAAAAGCCAAAAGGTGGAAACATTCCAAGTGCCCAACAACGGATAAGTGAATAAACAGCACTGTTTAATACGATGAAACATTAGTTGGGAAAAGGAATGAAGTTTTGATACATGCTACATCATAGTTGAACCTTGAAAACATTACCGTAAGTGAAATAAACCAGTCACAAAAGAACAAATATTGTATGATTTCACTTAGATGAAATCTCTAGAATAGGCAAGTCCATAAAAATAGAAAGTAGATAAAAATTAACTGGGGGCTCAGGGGAAGGTTGTATGTGGGTGGCTCAGTTGGTTAAGCATCTGCCTTTGGCTCAGGTCATGATCCCAGGGTCCTGGGATCGCCCTGCATGGGGCTCCTTGTTTGGGGGGGAAGCCTGCTTCTCCCTCTCTTACTCCCCCTGCTTGTGTTCCCTCTCTTGCTGTCTCTGTCAAATAAATAAATAAAATCTTAAAAAAAAAGTTAATAGGGATTGGGGTGTTGGGAGGCCATGGTGGGTTACAGGCTGAGACTTATACAAATTGTTTGGGGTGATGAAAAATGTTTAGAAACAGATATTTGTGATGGTTGTACAACAGTGTGAATCTAATTAATACCACTAAATTGCACACTGAAAAATGATTGAAATGACATATTTTATATCTTTTATATGTATTTCACCACACACAAATATTTTTTAAAAGAGTTAAACAACTAATAAAACTGTTTTACCCGTAGCATGATATGATTGCGAATAATATGATTAGAAGGTATGCCAAGTGAAACAAAGGGATCACTGTCATAGAAGTGGCTTGAAATTCCAGTTGTCTGGAAAGTGATGTAAAGTAGACCACCTGCCACAGAAAATATACCCAAGTAAATAACTTTTCATTCCAATATTTGTGTGTAAGCGACAAAAACTACTGAAACACTACAGCTTATTCATTGAAATGACATGTTAAAATTTGTGGACTATGACTTTAGAATAAAGAAGACAACAGATTTGCTTCTTCCCACAATCTATGGCATAGTTTCCAAAGTCTTGCAAAAACCCAAAGTTTAAAACTCCTAAATATACAAAATCTGAGTTCTATATAATACCATGAGGTCATTAATAGCCACAGAAAAGTGTCACTTTTTCTAAATTTCATTAGGATGTTGACTTTTACTATTTTAAGTGCATTGATATTTCAGAAAGATCTGGTATTCAAAGGCTTTTTCCAGTAGCTGTCTCACTTTACCGGGCTTATTCACAAGTATTAAAGGGCTTGCTGGCCCAACATTACAGAATGGTTAGCATGTGTCTGGCACTGTGCTAGAATTTACTCAGAAAATGCTAAGCTAGTTCTTTTTTCATAAACACCATGAACTTCTGCTTGAAGGGTTTTTTGTTGTTGTTGGGTTTTTTTGTTTTGTTTTGTTTTTAATTTCAGTGAACTCCAAACAAGTTTTAGGGAGCTCACCCATAGAGCAAAGACTTCAACTAAAAGTAGGAATTTCAAAGTCATTTGACTAGGAAACCTGATGATCAATGTCTGTATGTAACAGACCTACCTTGAGGATGTAGAATTTGTGTTTTCCACCAACATTACTAAGGATTTAAGATTTGTAGCATCCTTTGATATATGAGATTAAGGACCTTGGATTAAGTACCACGTAGAGTAGAGCACTCCCAGCTTCAAGGCAAGGACTCCATCAAATAATTGGGGAGTGCTACTCTTAGGATCCTCGGAAAAAGTGTTCTTATTCCTCCCACCTTCTCCTGGCCTCCCTCTAAAGCCCAGCCACCAGGTACCTGGATCTTCTTCAAGGCCAGATTCTTTTCGATGTTGCTAAATTGGTTCAGGAAATGGATCAGCCACATCTTGCTAAGCTCGTTGACCTCGCCATCCCCAGTCTTCAGGAAGTACAGTAACCGCATGGCCTTGGCCCTCAAGAGTAACTGGTTCTTTCCCATCCTCTTGCCTAAAACTGTTCCTCCAATAGTCCCGGCCAGGTAGATGGGCTGGCCTGTTGGGTTGAATATTGGGAAGGTGACGTTTCCCAGTTCGAGGTTTTTGTTCCTCTGCCAGACAGCCAGGAGCGGGTTGGAGGGAACGCAGAAATCCTCGTTCTTAGCGCACACCTGATCGTAGCGGGTCTGGGTTCCGTTTTCCTTGGTCACATACAGATCCTGTATCACAGCGTCCAGTTTACTAATTTCTTCCAGGATTTCTTGTTCCAGCACGGAGGTGGTGTTGGAGACCGCCAGAATGCAAGCGAAATTGACTTCAGTGCTCTTCCTGGAGATGGAGAAGTGGTAAGAGTCGTTGGCGGTGAAATGTCCCTGCACAAAGCGCCGCTCAGCCTTGGCGGGGCTCCCGATGGGGGTGTACTGCTCCTCCAGGTTTTCCTCTTTATCCTTGGGTAAGTAAATCAAGCCGGTGCCCAGAATGGCCGTCAGCGCAATGGGCGCCAGCAGGAAGATCCAGGGGTGCGAGCCCACCACCCACCCCAGCCTTCCGAAGGCGCGGGAGAGGGGCGTCTCCAGGCAGTCGGTGTGGCAGCGGGGTCTCTCCGACCGCTGATTTCCCGACCGTGACCTTGAGCGTGACCTTGATATCCGCAGGCCTGAAAGCCCCCTCGCGGACCCCGACTGGGAATGGGACGCCTCAAGGGACTGCGTGCGCTGGCCCGAAGCCCAGTGAAGCTTGGGTCCCCGTCCTTGACTTGACTGCAAGGGCCGCTCTGACTCGGGCTTGGAGGCGGGGAGCGGCCGTGCCCGCGGGCGCGCCTCCCCCTCCGACGGCCTCCCGGAGTCCGGCGGGGGCTGGGCCTCGGCTTTCTGCCTCGCCTGCGGCTGCGGCTGCGGCTCCCGCTCCCGCTCCGGCTTCTGGGCTGCGGACTGGGGCCCGGCCTCTGGCGCAACCTTGGAGGGACTGAGGCTCATTTCCGGGAAGGCAAGGCCACGTTCTCACTCCGGGCGGCAGGTGAGGCGGCAGCCGCTGGACGGAGCGCCCATCTCACGGCACCCGACGGTTTCCTGGAGAGGTTCTAAGCGAGTCTGTTTGAGCTCCGGCTGCTCGCGCCCCCACCCTGCAGGCTTCGGTGCGGAGCACGTGTTTGGACCCATGGCCCGACTGGCCCCCGATCTGCGTGTGGCGCGCCCGTGCCCTCCGGAGTCGAGTTAATACAGAAACACTTCTTAAAGGTAAGATGCGTGCCTGTTGTACAAGACTTACTTTGGGGGGGGGGGGGATTTGGCTTACACACACACACACACACACACACACACACACACACACACACACGTTCTAGCCTTTCTGGGATCATCCAGTAACACAGTTCTTGGGTAAGGGGAGCCTGGTACGCTGAATTTATTATTTTTATCAAACCGAACATAATAAACATTCTCCTCGTAAAAAGTTAGAAGGCAACATGTAGAATGAAAAGTGAGTGTTTATCTTTGATCTGTTCCACAGTTCCCAGGATGGAGGGACCCCTGTGTTCATGTCACCATTTTCATGAAAGTCCTCCCCTACCTTTTAACGTGCAGGCGACTAGAAGGCAGGCGGGTGGTGAGCGGGGCCTAGAATCAGGAAAATTGCTCGCCCTGTTTTCCGTGGTTGGCGGTCACTTAGCATTGATTGTGGTTGTGTTTTTAAGTGCGGAGATACCGCGTTTTAACGAAATCTCCAGATTCTAAGAATATCAAGTCCAAGACCTTGAGGAAGATATCTTTATTATATTTTAAAGGAGAAAGAATAGGAGATATTAAGTTGGCTTTCCAGAAAGTCATTGTTTAAGGGTGACCTTAATAACCACAAGGTGGCACCCGTTTTCTGTTCTAAAAGTTACAGTAAATGGGAGGAGGATTCCTCTTCTTCGTCGGCTTGTTGCAAGTCCTAGTTATAGCTATAGCTTGAGTTTATCATTGGTGCGGTATAAATCTAGGCATCTGTATCACATTAAAAAAATGGGGGAACTGATTTGGGAATTCCATTTGTTAAACCATATCTATATTATGGAGAGAATGGCTCAGCTCTTGTCCTAAACATTTAGGATGAAATGTTAGAGGGAGGGTGTTCACAGGTGCTCTGTAATGTGCAAAACCAGGGCCTTTTACTGCCCATCTTTATGGTATTTCTTTAGCAAAACATCGGCATGGTTTTTTTTTTCATTCTCAAAACACAACCCCTAAACTTCCACAATTGCTCATAAATCAGCCACCGTGAGGCACTAAATTCTACAGAAAAATATGTACCTCGAGATTTGATTTTATTGAGTTTCTTCATTCTAGTTTATTAATTCTAGATTATTTAATTTTACTAATCTAGTTATGTAGATTACTAATGTTTGCGTGGGTTTAGAAGGTCAATAAAAAATATCACTAATAGTTATTCCCCACCAGTTTTTCTGTATCATTTCATAAAAGGAATTTGACATTTTTAAAATGAGCTCATCTGCTATATTTGAGTTGTGAAAGCTTTTCATATTGGTTTTGGAGCTCTAGACTATAGCCAGTACAGCCATAACATGGCCTAGAGTCACATGTCTTAAGTGACAAGTCTCTTAAGTTGCTTCCTTTCAATTCACACAACACTCGGGCCTTTAATCTGAGAATGGTGTCTACTTTGTCAGGATTGGATTCTCCATACTTTGTAAAGTGCCTTCTGGATGAGAAGGGGGTGGGTATTGGGATTTCAAGAATATAGTTTAGGACTTAAAATTTTATCTAGTCTACTTCTTATCCATCTTCAGTCTAGGTAAAATTAAATAGGCAAAGCATTACCTTTTCTTTATCTCTTATCGCTATGTGGATTCCATTTCCTTCTGTTCCCCAGTCCTTTCAAAAAAAAAGTCCCTTTTTTTCTCTTCCCCCAATTTCTCCTTTTGTAAGTCTCATTCTCTCAGGTTAGCCAAACTGAGTTTGGTATAAATAAAGGGCAGTTGCCCATTATTTTTTATTTAAAAAAAAATTTTGCCCATTATTATGCATGAGATGTTTCTCTTTTAACTGTGTATTTTAGTTACTGGTTAATCTGTTTCCTACACTTGAGTATGAGCTCCTCAGAGACAAGGAGGACGTCTTGTTTTTGTTGTTCAGAGGACACTCTAATGTTAGTCATAACTTAGGTGCTACTGCTTGTCTTTCCACAGCTCTAGAAATTATAAAATTCAAATATGGCAGAAATAATAATGGCTGAAATGTATTCTGTAGATCCTGTAGGTCTGCTCAGATGCCTGTGTTCTGAAACACCAGGTATCATTTTGTGACTTTTCACCTGCTCCGTCTTAAGCCTTTTACCTTTTCCTTTGCTCCTTGTTGAAATTGAAACAGTATAGCTTTCCTCCTAACTCTTATAATAATCTATCACAGAGTGTTATGAAGTCACTCAGTTTTCCTTTTTCTAGAATGAAATCTAAAGGTTTAAAAAATTGATTGGCCATTGAGAAGAGGCTGTAAAACTGAGAGATGAATAGTTAAGAAAGAAACTGAAAAGGGACAGCATCAAGAACTGATCATGAATGTAGTGTTGGGGAAGAAAAAATATTTTTTTTTTTTTCTTTTTTTTTTTTTTTTGGTGAGAGGGAGAGAGAAGGAACAGAAGAAGAGGGAGAAAGAATCCCAAGTATATTCCATGCCTAGTGTGGAGCCTGACTTGGGGCTCCATCTCACAACCCTGAGATCATGACCTGAGCCAAAATCAAGAGTAGACACTTAACTGGCTGAGTTACCCAGGTGCCCCAAGAAACATATGGTTAAAATGCATGTACACATAATGGTAGAGTGGTAGACTTTTATACTAATGGTCTCCAATGAATCATGGCTCCCAGTATTTTTTACTTTTCGTGGTTCCCTCCCACATTGGCCATGTGACTTACTTGGTCCCATGGGACATCAGCAACTGTGACACAAACAGAAGGTTGATAAGTACTTATGCATTTGGGATTTG